CGGCGTGACGGGAGGCGGCCCGGCGCACGACGGCCCGGCGCACGGCGGCGGGCGCCTGGAGGTCATCCAGACTTTCGTGCTTGACGTGGCGCCGCTCGTGAAGGCCCGGCGCCCAGTACGGGTTCCCGTAGGCCGCCTCCGAGCTGCGGGTGAAGAAGGGGGCCGGTCCGGGACGGCGATCGAATGCCGACGCCTGGACGGACGGACAGACACACACGCGCACCGTCTCGCTTAGCTGGGCACACACCCTAACCCTCACAGTGAGTTGCCATCTTTAGAAATTATTTTCGGAAAACGTCTCACACAAAATCGAATGTTTTTTTTCTCGAAATAGGAGTCAAAACAAAACGAAAATGCTCCTGCGCTGAAGCCAAGTGCACCGGGCAGCGATTCCCCGTCAGACCGCTCGAGGGAGCACAAGAACCGGCAGTGGCACTCACTCGGCTGCGCGTCAACCTCCGCTGGCCGCGACTCGTCGCCTTGAAACGTGACGTGACAGCTTGGTTGATTTTAGCTTAGCATACCTGGCAACTGCCGTTGACGCACAGGTCGGCCTCGTACGGACCGCACGGCGTCCCGTCCATCACCCTGTCGGCCATCAGCACGGAAATGTCACGACCCACCGGACTGCAGAACAACACGCATGGCTTCTCTAGGCGCAAACACGCGCACGCAACGAGACACAGACACACACACACACACACATTAAGCACGAAACGTGGAGACGCTGACACTCCCTGACTCTCACAAGTATATGCTCACACATGTACACAAGGGCGCGCTCAAACACATGCACGTTCTCTCTCTTACACGCACGCATACTAAAAACTAGTGCTGTCAAGCGATTTAAAAAATTGTGCGATTAATTAATTTGGGTCTGTAATTAATCTAATTAATCTATTTTTTTTCATCTCATCTAAAAATGACTGAGAAAACCCCTATTTTCATTTTAAATTCGTGACATTATTGAGGCAGATCAAAAGATCAAAGAAAAAGTGGCATTATAAAGTATTTGATTTATTTTCAGCAGACTTGGACAGATGCGGTCCTCGCCATTTACTTTCTGCTGTATTTGAGACGAGTCAAAGTCCGACCTGCAACCTTGCGTTTCGACCACGAGGGGGAATATCGCTGTTTTGTTTGTTTTTGTAAATCTTTCTCTCCCTTTCTCAATTGTGCCGTCAGGGCGTTTTTGGAATGTCAATTGTCCATTCATTGTGCCGAGAACTCTCACATGCTGCTCCTTTGTCGCCTCTCCTTTCGGTTTCGAAAGACGCTGGCACGTTGGCAGATTGTCTCGCCTGTCATGACGGTGAGGGTGATGAGAAAACTTCATGCCGGGCTGCCCAATACGTCAATCGCGCTCACATCGTCTCTCCATCGACAACCAGGGCGGAGCGCAAGCGCAGATTTGCACACAGGTGATGGTGAATATGGATTCGGCCCTCTTCTTGTGTACATCTTGCATCCTGGGGGGGGGTCATATTTGAGGCTGAACAATGCAGAGACTGAAGGTCGCTGAAAATGCTCGCGCGCACCTTGTTCCCTGCCAGCCCTCGCGACACAATGAATCCGGCGCTGTTGACAACATACATGATTGTGGACAATGAGGAATTGAGGCAAGTTAGTGTGCGGATGGAAGGTGATGAGGAGGCGCCCCTTCAGCAGTGGTACAAGTTCGATGAGGTCAGCTGACTTGCACTCTCCCGCATATCATCGTTCTGCCGACAGAACCTGAGTGCCCTTTTTGTTGATGTCGTCGGCATCCCGCAGGTGTTCGCTCCTGGCGCCACCCAGCTTGACGTCTATCACAGAGTTGTGGCTCCCATCTTGGATGATGTCCTCCGAGGCTTCAAGTGCACCATAATTGTGTCAGTACGCACGCACACACACACACACAAGGCACCTGCCGACGGCCACCTCCTCGGGCGCCAACTTGGACTTGTATGATCAATGGAAATTGCAAACTCCTCCCTAATTCGGTGGTGCGTTGAATTGTGGCCAGACATTGCAAATTCCCGGAGGGGCTGAACATTGTTCTTGGCGGATGCGTTGCAGTTACGGGCCGATGGGACCACGGGCAAGACACACACCATGGTGGGATCACTGGATCGGTATGCGGGCCGCAGGTGGCGCCAGGCAAGTTTACTGAACAAGCAAACAAGCCCCCGAGAAGCTCGCGACAGTCAGCATCCCAGGCGGTGGCGCCCCCCCCCCCTCCCCCAACACAACTTACCCGCGTCCTTTCTCGAGTGAGTGACCCGCCGCGCCGCCCGACGAGTTGATTTGGTTGCCCGTCCGCTTTCGGTGGGCTTCCATCTCGGCCGTGACGCGCTTCCGCCCGCCACCAAAAGCGAGCGAAAGCGCCTTTGGTGGGCTTCCGTCTCGGCCCCGACGCAGACCGCAGCAAGCGAGGCTGCCTCTCGGATGGCCCATGTCGCAATCACAAGACGGTCCTGTATTATTTTTGCGACGCGGGCTGTTGGTGGAGCAGTCAAGTGGAATGCTTGAGGCCGGTAGACATTTATTGCGTCGAGGACCATCGAGTACAGAAAGAACGTGAAGTACACAAAATGGCAGCTGACTCGACCAAATATCAACAACAATACGCAAAAATTGTCATCGTGTTAAATAACGGCAAATTCAATCATAAAAATCATCATTAATAGAAGAAGATAGCACCTTTGACGACCCTTCCGCTCTGGGAGGAGCCAACCGATGACATCATCGTGTCGCGCGACAACTCCAAATTTGCTGCTTGGAGTGGAGAGTGATCTGTCCGACTTGGTCCCGCCCCCCGACTTCCTGTCTCCAAACCCACTCTGTGTTGGGTTTGGTTTGGTTTTTTTAGCCTCGCTGGTCAGGCGGCTTGGCGCTGACGCTTACTGGCGATCGTGCGCAAGTGTTTCCAATTTTTTTTTTTGGGGGGGGGGGGGGGGGGTTAACTTCCTTCTGCTTGCAACGCACTCAGGTTGGCGTCAGTCAGCAAATTAATTTGAGCTGGAAGCGTTATCTGCCCACCTCCCTTAGCGACATCGGCTAAGCGCACGCGGCAATACGGTACAGCAACCATTAAGAGCAGAGGAGCGTGCAGGACCGGATGATCATCGGCATCATTCATTTTCAAATTTCGCTCAATGGAGACGCCTGCCGCGGAACAAGTCCAAGTTGCCAATGAGAAGAACTCAAACGGAGAAGGAACGGCAGGAAAAAACGAAACAGAGCCGGAGGTGGAAGGAGAGAAAGAAGTCGACGTAGAAATGGCAAAAACAAAAAAGGACCAAAGAGACACAAGCAGAGCAAGCGATGATGGCACTTTCAGAAGGAGAGACGCAGGTCGACGAAGCAGAAGACGCACGACCCCAAAGTGGTCGTAAAAAAAAAGCACAAGTGGACAGCAGTTCCACAAATCGGGAACCGTTGTAAGAAGTGGAAAGAGAAGGAGCAGACAGGATGAACAAGCAGAAATAGTCTCCGACGTAGGACCAGACAAAGCAGTTTGAGAGGAGAAGTTGAATCTGAATGGCTGTGCCAGGCGGGTTTTTTCTTTTGTTTTGCTTTGCTTTGCTTTTGGGTGTCCGGCAAAACATTTCCAAGTCTTCCCGTCCCGTCCCGTCGGCTGTCGGTCGGTCCCCCGCCGTCACTCGGCGCTCACGAAGAGGTCCGGCTGGCGTAAAAGTCTCTGCAAGTCTGGCAGCAACGTTGGTACCAGCGCATGTCGCGGCAAAGGCTCTTCTCGCGGATCACGCGGCAGTACACGGGCCACTGGTCGCCGCTCGTACACTTGTAGGTCAGCGCGGCTGCGGGGGAGGGGCGACAAACAAAAGACGTGGCCGCAAAGGAGGACGAGTCGGACCGGAAGAAGCGGAGGCGGCAAAGTGGAACCCAAAGCGGGCCAGAAAGCCATTTGGCGCAGGTGGGACGGAAAGTCGGAGGAGCCCAAGGAAGGAAGCGGGGAGAGGAAAGAGGCGGGCGCGGCGGGCCGACCCACCTAGCCTGGGCGAGGTGATGGTGTTGCCGTCGACCTCGGCGGCCTGGCGGCGGCGGCACTCCCCCTGGGGCCGGCAGGGTCGGTAGGTGGGCGGGCGCAGGGCCGGCGGGCACTCGCTACCGTGGCGACCGCTCACTTTGTGCATGCACTGCACCGCGCGCGACTGCAGGCCCCGCCCGCACGACGATGAGCACTGGCGGCCACGCCCAAAGACAAAAAAGGCGTTATGAGCCCGATTCGGACGTGTCGTGACCTTTACAAATGGCCCCGAGAACAAAATGGGAACACGGAGCAGGAGAAAGAAGCATCGACATCGTTTGGGCAACGATGTCGATGTTGGCCCGCAACCCGCTCGGCTTCTGTTTGAAGGACGGAAAACAAAAACGCGTCCTTCCCGCGCGTCGCCCTTCGGCCGCTTTGAATCCAACGCGTTCCCGCAAACGACGAGCTCGCGGGCACGTGAACTGGCGGGACCGCAGCCAATCGGGGGGGGGGGGGGGGGGGGGCGCGATGGCCTCGTTTGCGCGTGTCGACTGAACGAAATGGAGAATTTTCTTTGGCGGCCGGTCGCAGTGACGTCTTGGGTTTGCTTGGTTTTGGGGAAGGCACGTGCCACCGAAGCGCTCCGCCGTACGAACGCGCGGTTGCGTTCGGGGACGGCAAACGAGTCGCCTGAATTCGCCAAACGGACGGCCGCGTCCGTCCGCGCGGCGCGCGGGCTCTCCCGCCCGAGATGCGTACCTTGGACCACTGGGCGGTTTTCCACTCGAAGCAGCGCGAGTGGTCCCGGCAGGGCTCCCGCTGGGCGGGCCGCATGAGCGGATCGCAGCGGCCGCCGGCGTTGCCGCACGTGACGTTGCGAGTGCGCACCCCGGGGCCGCAGCCCTCCGAGCACTGAAACGACAACGGGAGCGCCTCAGACCAAAAAAAAAAAAAAAAAAAGCTTCCTGGCAAACGTGGGGGGGGGACAAAATTCACAAGATTGCAATTTCAAAACAAAGACAAGCTCTGAACGGGCGTGGCGAGCGCGCCGCTCGCTCACCGGTGAACAACGTGCTCTCTCTCTCTCGCCCAATTTGATGAAACTTTCCCCCCCCAACGAAAAGGCATTTCCTTTCCTTTCAAGACAATGTTGATTTTTTTGTTTTTTTAACAGAGAAAGAAGAAAACTGACCCCCCGAATCCCCCCCCACCCCCACTTTCCCAAATGTGAAAAAGAAGTGTGGATTTTCGTCGTAGGAAGGGTGGCTCGATGTTGCGCAATTTGCCTTTCCCTGGCGAGCGACCCACCTGCGACCACTCGGAGGCTTCCCAGACACCGAGGCAGAGGCGGCCCTCGCAGGCCTGCAGGTGCGGCGGGCGGGGCCCCGGGCAGCGGTCCTCGCCCTCCCGCTCCCCCTCCTCCTCCTCCTCCTCGTCCCCCTGCGCCTCACGCGAGCCGTCGCGCCGCTGCTGCACGCAGAGCACCCGCCGCCGCTGCGTGCCGGGGCCGCACGTGGCCGAGCAGGGGCCCCACTCGCTCGCCGACCACCTGAAGCGCAGCGCACAAACAACATTGCCTTTCAAAGTGCGGTGAGAGGAAAGGGTGGGGGGGGGTTCGATCGCAAACTGGCTTGAGCGGCAGGCCACCCCGCCCGCACACCAGGAGGCCACTTGCAACTGGGGAAATAGTCCCGCCACCCCCCTTATCCCTGCAGCACGTGCGGGTGAATCTTCTCCAAGTTCCAGCGGGCGCGGAAATGTGCGAGCTGTGCGCGTCTGAGTCGGGCTCCTCGGCGGCGGGAAGAAAAAAAAGGGGACGGGGGGCTTTGGCGCGTACCAGAAGTGGCAGGGTTGAGGGTTGCACGGCCTGACTTGCGGCGGCGGCCGGCGCTCGGCCCGACAGAAGGAATCGTCGGCGGCCTCGGCGGACCGGTTGGCCAAACGCACGCACGACACCGAGGTCCTCCGCTCGCCTGCGCGCGCGCCGAGGGCAGAGGAAGGCGGCCGTGTCAAAGTTGGGGAAGCGCCGGACGCGGGCGCCGCGCCGCGCGCTACCTCCTCCGCATTGCGCGGTGCAGGCGTTCCAGCCGCTGTGCGTCCACGCGTAGAGGCGCTGAGGGGGGCTCGGCTCTGTCGGCGCGCCCGCGCCCAGGCCCAGCGTGTACTCGTAGTGAATGGCGTATGTGGGGTCGTGGAACAGCAGCACCTGGCGACAGCACAACACAGGCGCGCACCGAGCCAAGCTTCGGTCATGGCTGAGGCTGCCGGTTTTTTTTTTTGGGGGGGGGTTTACCAGGAGGTGCAGCGGGGCGCGCGTGGGCCCCCTGGCCGACATTTTCTCCCACAATCCTCGCCTGACGTATCGGACGGTGGCGCCGGCCACCTGGAAGTCTCCCGGGAGCTCGATCTTCCAGTCGCCGTTGATCGACTTGCCCCCGCCGTCTTTCAGGGCTGGAGGGGGCGCAGGGTCACAAGGTCACAATATATATAGCGGCGCGGCTTCCCGACACGCTCGTTTGGGGAAACGAGACCCGAGGAAAAAAATGGGACACGAGGAAAACGGTGACCACAAAAATGCAAGAAAAACATGAAAAGGAGGGACAATCGACTCAAGACAAATTCCCCCCCCCC